CCTGGGACTGACACGTGTGTGTCCTGGGACTGGCACGTGTGTGCCCTGGGGCTGGCACGTGTGTGTCCCTGGGACTGACATGTGTGTGTCCTGGGACTGGCACGTGTGTGTCCTGGGACTGGCACGTGTGTGTGTCCTGGGGCTGACACGTGTGTGTGCTCTGGGACTGGCACGTGTGTGTCCTGGGACTGGGACGTGTGTGTGCCCTGGGACTGGCACGTGTGTGTGCCCTGGGGCTGGCACGTGTGTGTGCCCTGGGACTGGCACGTGTGTGTGCCCTGGGGCTGGCACGTGTGTGTCCTGGGATTGACATGTGTGTGTTCTGGGACTGACACATGTGCCCTGGCACTGACACGTTTGTGCTCTGGGATTGACACATGTGCCCTGGGCCTGCCACATATGTGTTCTGGGACTGGCACGTGTGTGCTCAGGGACTGCCACGTGTGCTGTGGGACAACAGGACACGTGTTCCCCCTGCTCCGTGTCTGCCCAGCCTGGTGTTTCATCACTGATCTGCAAACGCTCCTGGGACACTCTCAGACCAGCTCAAGATACCAAAGGACTCTGAGGAACAGCACCTGCTCACCAAGCCTGTTGGTTCCCCCTGTGCCCTGATGCCCGTGGCTGATCCCAGGGACAACCCCCCTCCTGGCCAGGGTGCCCAGGCAGAGGGGACAGGTCCCACCTCCTGGTTTTTGTACAACCCTCCCTTGATGTCCTGTTGCAGGTGGGGCTGCAGCCAGAGCAGGGGCAGGGGGTGTGACTGCAGTGCCTTAGGGTGGGCTGGTGTGTCCCCCTGCTCTGGGTGGGCCAGGGCAGCTCCAGCTCCCATAAAACACCCCAGGGCTCAGCACCAGGGCAGCATTTCCCCTGCCTGGGTGGCTTTGCCTTCTGCTCTGCCTTCTGCAGCAGCCTCGTGGTGGTGGGTCCCTGGGGGAGCTCCTGCCCCTGTTCTCCCTCCCCATGTCCCCTGGAGTCTTGGGATGGTTGTGGACAACAGAGGATGGGGGTTGGAGTCTGTCCTCAAGCCAAACTGCAAAAACAAAACCCCAGGGCAAATCTTCTTTTTTTTTCTGTGAATAAAGGCTGTGTCATAAATAGCTTTTATTAATTAATTCTTCTTTCTAATGATACAATATTTGATGTGAGTTGTTTCCAGGGGCCTCGTGTCCATCTGCATCA